CTTGGGGTGTCTCGGTTGTGGCCGAGACACTCCTTAGGGGGTGTCTCGGCTATTGGCCAAGACCTGTTTGGGTGTTCCGCCGTTGATTCGCGGTAGATTCTTCGTACGAACTCGGATTTGAGTGATTCCGGGTGCGTTGGATGCGTGACGAAGAGTTCGATCCGCTCTGATGGTTGGATTGTCTTTAGAGTGGTCGAGGCACGGAGGGTCCCGATTGGTCCGGGTCTTCGTTGTTCCGAAATCCTATCAGCTCACGTAGCTCGTCGATTCACTTCAGTCGTTCATCGACGTCGATTAGGCTCATGTGGGTCGGATGGTGATGTTCATTGTCGCTCATTAACACTGAACCGTTTGTGGAGACCTATAGGCAATTTTCGATGCCTACAGATACCCCCTCCAAAGTGTTCCGGACTCGTTTCTTTTATAGAAGAGGCCGGAATACTTTGGATGTGATTGGTCTAGCCTTCAGTCGGCATAAGGACCTGTAGTTAGCTTCAACTCTTGGCTCCTTCGATTTTCAGTCTATCCGATGCTTTGACGAATAGCTGAAGTTCTTCCGGCACTGCGTTTATCGCTTGGCCGTCGTCGGAGTCTTGAATTTGCAGCTGATGAATTGAGTTTGGCCAGTGTCATTGGTGTTGACTTTGAACTACCTCCGTCACATCGTGTTGACTTAGGGTTTTGGATCACCGTGTGTTGACTTTTTGTCGTAACGCGTTGACCGGCGTTGACCTAGGGTACGCGTTGATCGGCGTTGACCCTTAGGGTTTTGAATCGTCAAACGTTGACTTTTGTCGCAACGCTTTGACTGGCGTTGACCTAGGGTTACGCGCTGACCGGCGTTGACCCTTAGGGTTTTGGTTCATCAAAGGTTGACTTTTGGTGCAACCCGTTAATTGGGGTTGACCTAGCGTTGACTGGCGTTGACCTAGGGTTACGCGTTGACCGGCGTTGGCCCTTAGGGTTTTGAATCGTCATACGTTGACTTTTGTCGCAACGCGTTGACTGGCGTTGACCTAGGGTACGCGTTGACCGGCGTTGACCCTTAGGGTTTTGAATCGTCATACGTTGACTTTTGGCGCACACGTTGATTGGTGTGGATTTTCATCCTCGAACGTTGACTTTTGTCGTAACGCGTTGACTGGCGTTGACCTAGGGTTACGCGTTAACCGGCGTTGACCCTTAGGGTTTTGAATCGTCAAACGTTGACTTTTGTCGCAACTTTGAATCGTCATACGTTGACTTTTGTCGCAACACGTTGACTGGCGTTGACCTAGGGTTACGCGTTGACCGGCGTTGACCCTTAGGGTTTTGAATCGTCAAACGTTGACTTTTGCTCACAACCCGTTGAGTGGGGTTGACCTAGGGTTACGCGTTGACCGGCGTCTACCCTAGGGTTTTGATTCGTCAAAGGTTGACTTTTGGAGTTCATCAATATCCACCCATTGGCGAAGAATCGGAGTGTTTTGGGGCTCAGAAAACAATTTAGGGGTCAAACAAGGTTCGGGGGGGTCAAAACAGACTCAAGACGCCCCGGGGGTGTCCCGACAAAACCGGGACACCCTGGGGTGTCTCGGCTTTGTCTCGGCAAAGCCGAGACACCCTTGGGGTGTCTCGATTTTGCCGAGACACCCCATGGGGGTGTCTTGGTTTTCGTGGTCCCCCCCCCTCTTGTTTGGCCTTTTCCCCTTTTGTCTTTTGCTCATGGTCCCCCCCTTCTTTAGTTCAAATTTCAAAAGAGAGAGAGTTCCCTCCTCTTTAGCTCAAAACCGAAAATCCCCTCTTCATTTTCGGTTTTGAGGGTTCTTCTTCCCCAAGAGCTTTTCTCCATTGAAGAATCCATCAATCCTTAAGCAAGCTTAGCTTTTAGCGGATACCCATTGGCCAAAAGCTTGCTTCTCCAAGTGGGGTTCTCTCCTTCATCTTCAAGCTCAAAGGAAACCCCTTTGACTCGGTAAGTTCTTCTTCACAATCCTCTTATTTTCTTGTAAATATTGCATTTTTATTCTTGTGGTAGGCAAAGGTTGTGTATGCACAATGTTTTGGGGTGTCTTGTGCAAAAGAGGCAATATGGCCGAATTTTGGGGGGCTTATTTGCAAAATGGGACTGAAATTTGTGAGGGTTAGATTTCATTCCCCTTTGGTAACAATTTGGATGGGTGTTTTATGCAAAAGAATTCACTTCTTAAATCTTAGATGGTCAAGATAATTTAAAGTCTTTAATGCATTAAAGCATAAAAAATCATAATCCTCAGTCATATGGATCTTGTAGAAATCTAAGGATCATGCATTTCTTACAGGAGGTAGATGAAGCTCTCAAAAGTGAATAGACTAAATAAATAAAATGTATCGGAAAGAAAGGTATATTCCGTGAATGAAACAGCATACCTTAAGGTAGTCAAATAATATAAGGCACTGGATCAAGATATGTCGACGAAAGCTAGGATCTTTTAACTGCACAGAAAAAAAATTATAGCTTGTATTATCTTATAACACCAAGCAGAAATGTAACTACACAGAGGTTATAAGTCAAACTCTTTGCAACACAATACCTCTAAACCCATCAACTTGCTGCTAGTGAGATACTTAATGCTAAAAGCAGCTTCCTCTTGCTCAACATTGTTAGCATTTCCATCATCATCAGACAGAGGCTGAGCTTCAAATGCATCCAGTACAACCTATGACATTCATGATGTCCAGAACTAGAAAGATCAGAAGGTGATTGACACATGTATAGACTAATAGCATATGCACATGAGACAACATTCATGATATCCAGAACTAGAAAGATCAGAAGGTGATTGACACATATAGACTAATAAAATATGCACATGAGACAACTGGAAAGGCAGCAAACAAAATGTTCAGTAAAATACATTCAATAACTAGCAAAAATAACATACCATTAAATTGGTGAAGAACTTCTGCCACTTGGTTGGGGCAACAGTGGTTGAAGCTGGATTGCTAAAATGTTCCTGCAAATAGAAGAACAAAAGATGGTTGTCTAAATAATCCGCTTCAAAAAAACATTAAATGACACATAATTTTTGCTCCTTCGTATGTCCTTATTACATTCATATCTACATGAACAGCATCCAGCACCTGTAGAGGGCTGACTGACACAAACTCTAGGGGAACCACAAGAAGAAAGAACTCATGCTATGCACAATAGATATTTATTCTTAGGAGTCGGTGACTATAGATAGACCATGACTCTACTATCTATGCAACATCAGATAACCAGTTTGCTACATATAGACTTCAGATACTGAATAACAGGAAGCTAAGGTTCTAGCTTTATTTGCTATTTCCTAGGTGCCAACTGGAGGCAATTTGCCCTGGAGAACTTGTAACTTACTCCCAAGTATTTCAATATTGTACATGGAGGTTAAAACAAGTACTTTTATTATTGGCAATTCTTTCTTCAGATCTGTCCTTGAAGAAATCGTGTGCATTCTTTACTTCAGCAACTAGTAACTATATTTGTGGCAAAACAGAACTGTTGGTGGTTGGTGCTTTGTGCTGAAGTGCTCCAACACAAACTTATATCCTATCATCGCATATGATCAGATCATATAATCAGCAAATCATCAAGTTTTAAATAACCAGTACGAAGCCATTATCTGGTCATTGAGCTATTTAGATGCTAAAGCACAGAAACACTGATGCCTTCGCTTAAGACTTCTGGCAGAAATCCAGAAATGCTTGTACACTAGAAGAGGCATCTTTGAACAATTGTAAAAATCTTTTATAAATAATTATTATATATGAACCAATGATTCTGCCTGGGGTGGAAAGTGAGACAAGCCAATCATATTGAGCCAAGAAAAGATAAATCAGTTTACAACTGTCTCAGATTTTGGTCATAGAATTCTAGGGTATCACAATTCCTACTTTTTTTCGTAGAGAATCTTGATTATCTATCAGTTTACAAGTGCATATATAAACCTTTTATACATGTATTAGTTCTTTTTTGAAGTTCATGTTTGAATTATCAATGTTTTCAAGAGAATAAGAACGTTTCAACTGTTCATCATGTCAAGAAGGAAACTTCAAATAACAGGCTATGGAAAGAAGAAAAAGCCACAATCTTTAAGTAGCATGGTGGAAAATCTGAACCTGTAAACTCCACAAGGTCTTGTAGAAGTTGAAATCAATGGAGACTCCTGAGATATCCAAAATTGTTGAATAATCACCCCACTGAATATTTTACGCTAAGATAAGATTACAGAGATAAAAGATGCAAACAGAGAAGGGAGACTGTTTCGTACCTTCAGGAGCATCTTTTTCATATTTGGTCACATTTGATGTGTTGAAAACTCCCTTTATATTAACAGCTACAGGATCAATAAAAAGGGAAGGTTATATGACTGGTAAAAGATGGTCATCTCCAAGGGTGATGGGATGACTTACCTGACCGCTCTGACAAGGGAAAGAAGTGTGCAAGAAACATAAGAATCCGTCCACAAAATACCACATCATTTGCCTGGATGATTAAGATGTTAGCTAGAAAATGATCCAGAACAATATTTGGTGTAGAATATATCCCATCACATAAAGGAATGAATAAAATATACTACTTATGGGCCAAGCTGCATAGACTCCTATCATGAAGCTGTATTCGTACTTGACACGTACAGTAACCATATCGGAAACAACACCTTTTAGAAACTTCTTGGATTATGCATACATTTATTCAAACATGTATTCAATTATATAATATGTGCTCTAATTTAAAACACTCATCGTATACTTCTTGGACCAGTATCCTACACTTTGCATCCACTTCTTGAAACTCATTGGACAATAATCAGGTTCTTTTAGTCCCGTGTCAAGTTCAAAACTAAGATTTTAAACTTTAAAGGGTTCTTTATATATCAAGCTCAAAATAATCAAAATAATTAAACAAACATAAAAGAAAAAGAAAAATATAGGGATTTAATTCTCATAACAAGTGAATGAAAAAACAATATTGAGCTAATGTAACTTATATCTAGATAGATAGCCGTGTACCCATACCCCACTTTTTACAAATTTGTTGGGACCCATACCCGCACCCGAATGTATAACTTAGGCTATAGCATCACATCATACGAATACAAAACAAATTCTGGCTCATTTCAGGATATGACATTGTTGAAACTCAGTTCATAGAAAATGTAGCATGCATCTGAAGTATAAATATTTGCTTAATGCTACTTATTTAACATATATTAATAATGATTATGATTTTGAACCACTTGCATTGTTCCTGGTCAATGAAGTACCAGGCACATACTGAACCAGATATACCTAAAAACTCAATCAAGAGATAGTTCATGCCTCCATGGTCATCGACTTGAAGCAACTAGCAAGGCACCCATATTTATGGAAAATACTGCCTATTAGCCATCAATGGAATATATTCATGAAGAAATCAACATAATAATGTGAGAAACTGCTAAATTCCCAAACAACTAGGCACAGCATATGTTATGTATACTTGAGTGGGGGTTTTTTGGTGTAAAAAAGTACAAGGGATACAATTCTTCTTATCTCAGTGTTCTCTATATCTCTTGTACGATGGTCCCAAGAGACATAAAAACAGATTCTAAACTTAAGGCTAACCCCAAATAAATAGACTAAAAGAGGAAACACAAGGCATAAAAGAGGAAACATGACACAATTTATGGTGATCCCTAGAGCGAGAAGTGAATTGCCCTTTAGGCATGCTAACAAACAATGTCCAAGAACAAAAGACATAGACGTCTAAGAATTTGATGGTTCTGAAACTTCAAAATAGGAGGAACAAGAAAAGAGTTGTAAAATCCTTAAGAGGGAGTCTCTCCCTAATGGAACAAGATATCAGTGAAGAGTTTCCAAGGAAAGGAGAGGAGCCAGCTGAAGAGGCAGAACTTGAGGGTGTACTACAAAAGTTCTGTTGGGTGTACATGCCAAGGAATTGGAGGTGGAATCATTAACCTGTTTGGATGGTTGATGAGAAACTCTGGCTGTATCACAGGAACTCACAATTTTTAACATTAAATGGCAACATTTCAAAAGCAGCTCCGGAAAATAAAGAACAAAAAACAGAAGGACAAAAATAGTATCACAGGCATCAACAGAAAATATTAGCGCTCAGCTAGCTAGATAAGTGTGACAAAACCTGGTTTATGAGTATCTTTTGACTTTTGAGCGTTCATCACTAAAACTTTTTATCTTTTAGCGTGCTAAAATGTGAGGCAAATAATCGCACTACAGAAAAGGATGATTAGAGTAAAATAGCTCCATCTTCTACCAGTCAAAATGAAATAATCTCATCAACTACATCGTCTTTCTCAAAGAGAGAAAAGAATAAAACTAGAACTGGCTGGATTATATGGAATCAGAGTTAACCACCAGTTCCTATAAAGTATTAGTATTAGGAACCAATACTATTTTCTAGATGTTATTTATATGACAAAATATACAATCAGATGTAGCATTCGCACCCTAACCATTCCATGAGATCTCACTATCTAATAATTCTGTTGAATATTCTAATGCAATAAAGCATTATATGATAATTTTGATGTATCATACCTTTGAGAGTCTTCGAAGAAGTTGATTGCATGTTCTCAGCATCACCAATTTCCCTCTCCCAAAGAGCTCTTGCTGCAAGCAGCCAAACAAAGTGATTAGTTATACAGTTAGCTTCAGTAGAAAATAACAATTTACAATAGATATTTGATGACTATCTATGACACACCTTACCCAATACATCTTGCTTGCTCTCGATATAACCAAAAACCTCTTTGCAGTCTTTCATGGTTGACATCTCCGTCAAATCTTCTAACAGCTGAAATATCATACCACCTTCAACATGCCCTTTTTGACAAAGATACAGCACAATGTCTAACAAACCAAGCCAAAGAGAGGACTTCAGGAAATGTAGACCTCAAAAAATACGTTATAAACTCAAGTGGATCTAGGAATGATGCATGATCAGAAATCAAAATCATAGAGGAAATGAGGCATCTAGGAAAAAGCATGAATAGTACAAGTTAAAAGTATAAATAATACAAGCGTTTAAATGAGATACAGACCAAGAAGACGTGGTATTTGACCGCCAGCATTTTCCCCATCATCAATTGACTTCCCATATTGCATCATCCTTTCACCAGATTGTACTGCAGAAGACTGAACATCAAAGAGTGAAAACATCTATCACTATCTGATACTAGTTATTAAAAGGAAGATTGTCAGCTGCCATTATGCAGCCAAGCTTTTTCATCATAGCAATAGCCACCTATGAAGCCCAATTCAGCAGAAGATTGAATGCCATAATATTGCATGACTCACTTGGCAATAAAAACGAATTTGTTATTTACTTGTCTTTTCCCCATATATAATCCCGTACCTCTGACGTTTAAAAGATTAAGGTAAGCAAGCATATTAAAAAATTGTGAGGAAGAGAACAAGGTCTGTCTAACCAAGGGGATCTAAAAGGAACAACATCCACTCCAAAATGAGAGAAAAAGAAGCATAAACAGGTGAAGGATATAATAAGAATCAACAAGAAACATGAGAGAAAGAGTGGAAGAGTTAACCACAGAAGGCTCCATAGTCCATACTTCAGATGAAGAAACAAAATTAACAATAAACAGGGGCTCCAATATCCAATTTGACCAAAATGGTTCTTCACATCTTCAAACAACCCCAATTGTTAATCACCAATGGAAGATTTGAAAGTGCCAGAGGAGTTGACTTCAATTACATTAGACAGAACCAAAAAATAAGACTAGAAAATTATATTTGAGAAGATAGTAGGGGATGATGCTAAAAAAAGGAATCTGAAGAACTTTTTTCCTATTATGCTAAAAAAAGGGAACCACAATTCAGAAAAGAACAAGGGCTGTGACAAAAAAGAATACCAGCTAGCAAAATTCCCAAGCTCCAAACAGCAGAAGATAACCCCCATGACAATATTTTGGCATCATTCACTGGGTAAAAAAGTTAAAGAAAGACATATTTCAATAATAGCCCTAGACAAAGATCTGGATTTCCCAAGGAATCTGAAATGAAGTCATATTATGTTGATTTGAGAAATTTCTCCAGTATCAGACCAAGTAACAATTTACCAAACCCTGTGGTGGCATTCCCATGGAATACATGCTGTTAAATCCAACAAGACAGACAGACCATGGATAAGGCAATTTATTAGAAAAAAAAGTTTGAGACGCCAAGAGAAAAATAAATAAGAAAATTCTCAAGACAATCAAAGTCAGATTTGAGAATGTATAACAGGGCAACAAGAGGGTCCAAGATCTCATACCAAATAACCTTGCAATTACACCAAAAGCCCTGATTGTAACAAACATAAACGAAGTCCTATCTCCACATGGATGTAGAATGTAGATAAACAAGTGATAATACACAAACTCTTACGTCCATTGCATGTGTCAAATGCAAGCTCGTAAGGGAACAAATGCCCTAAAAACGGACAGTTTTTAGAACTACAGATTAAAAGCATGAGGAAACTAAATCTCAGAACAGAATTTGAATTAAAGGAACTGATATTACGAAATTAGTCTTGGTCTAAGGATGTAGACTAATTGTCAGTACCAGAGAGATGACGTAACAGAAACCGAATCCTGTGCAGGATTATGAATTATACCCCATAAATTAGCTAAGTTTAAACCTAGAGGCGAGCAGGCCAGGTCATTAGCGATGCTAGAACAAACAGAAAAAGGGAACTGATAACAGCGGGTTGAAAAATGCAATTTGGACAAGAAACCTGAATTTTTTTTCCCCTAAGTAAGATTGAATATCTTTTCCAAGAAACATTAAATGCTTGTTCTCAAACAAAAAAAAATGGGGAAATGCTCGCAGTTCACCTTGGCATGCATACATATCAAAAATCAAAACTGTCACTGGAAGCAAAATTGGACATAGCATCTTACCACTAGTTCTTGCAGTAGTGTTCGAAGAGCATTTTCCAGAGATTGATTCTCATCTTGGACAAGTACAGTCTGTTTCTGTTCACAAAATTCATTTAAGTATTTCAGTCTAATAAAAGTATGGCTACCATTCTAATATAAGAAGATTACGGCTGTCTGACTCCTCCGAAAAATTTCAAACACACAAAATATGTATGAATCATGTAACCAATACCTAATCAATGAACAATAACTTGTATGTTGCAGCAGTTCAAAGTGTCAAGTCAGTATAGTACATTGGAATTGGGAAATAAACTTTGAACCGTTATAAACGAACAACTATCTTCAGCAAGTGATCCAAGTGCAAGCTTTATCCATTATTTAGACAAAGCAAACAATCGATAAGGATCTTCAACAATGTCATAAACAGGAACAAGAGAATGATATTAAACCATTTAGAGATCATTTTGAGTCTACAAAATAATTAAGATGTTTTAACCATGCGAAATAGTAGTATATCTTTCTACAGGATAGATTTTGTACTTATTTGTAAGAGATGGCTTTACCATGATATTTATCTTTGATTGACAAGAGGTTTACCTGAATTAAAATGTATAAATTGTTCAAAAGATTAGCGTTCCAATTGACATAAGAGGTTAAATATTTTGTAAGGTGAAATGTAATTGAAGTGTTAAAAAATTACTTCCCATGTATTTGGTTCATAACTGCAGGTCCTTAATCCGCACTACACTGAGATAACTAAATCACATGTTCTCTTGTAAAGTCGATGTGATGAAGGCCTGCATGCCCGTCTTTCTACATATGCATGGTGTTAATTATTTGATTTCTTCACTAAACAGTCATAGACAAATTATTACGCACTAATTCAATTGATAGCACGAGTTATTGTTGATCTAAGAATAGTCCAGAACAGATCAACAATTTACTATCATTAGTATCCACAAAGAAAAGGCAATCAGTCCATGCTGATAAGTGTGACTGTTCCTTATACCAAGTATTGTTGTTAAAAGGTGACTGAAATCATAGAAATTGTCTCGAAAGCATTGTTTTAAATATCTCGACATTGTCCGACATATCAGCCAATTTAACCTTTTACAAGGCTAGCAGCAAAACGATATGGTCTACATATCCTATACCGTTTTTTGACAATTTCGGGTGTCATATCCCCAACATGGCTGATATATCTGCCGATATGTTGGCCAACAAGTCCTTTACACAGCTCATCATAAAACAATATACCGCCTTTTGCAATTTTTGTGCGATAAATCATGGTTTCCCAATTCCCGATATACAAAGTAGCATTTCAACTCAATTAAATATTGCAATGTTGATTTTATTTGTTTTAAAAGGTTGCTTAGTGATCCTAAACAAATAGTATCTACATTTTCATATGTATAGACTTCATTAAGTATGTTTAGATTATTTACAACATTATATTATATATGCACATCATCCGGTATAGCACTATGATAATTACCAAATATCCATGATATTTCCCCGATATCCGCAATCCGATATTTCCCCGATATATATTTAAAACCTTGCTCGAGAATTCTGTGCATGGACTACTAATTCTCAAAGTGTGGCCATAATCGCAATAATAGGTCAATAACTTATTCTGACTGGAGCCAAGAGGTACAGGACAAATGGTTAGATGTTGTGATAAAATCATCAATACCTGAGGTTTTATAGCTTCTTGTACTGCTTGAAGGGCACAGTTTTCAGGGAGAGCAGGTTGCAATATAACTCTTCTAAATACTTCCTGAGAACAGAAATTTTTTTCATCTTAAAACTGAAAATGAGCTTGAAGCTGACTATGAAATGGAAATTAATGCAAGAACAAAAGATAGATATGAACAACACAGATTAAAAAAAATAGAAAATACAAACTGGTTCATGCATATTTGAGTAAATTTAAATTCTGATAAAGTTCAAGGAAATTGAACTGGTTACATGATAAATCTAACTATCTCCAGAATGTTGCAACTTTGCTTTTCTAAGTGCAAATTCAATTTCAAGAGTTACATTTTTTGTAAAAGTACCTAAAGCTGCATGCAACCCATAAGACAATGTAACAATTAATATCACAGGTTGATTTCAGCTTTCAGATCAATAGAGCATCATAAACCATATAAGCATATCCTGAAAGACACTATACAAAATGATGAGGAAATGCTTTAGGGCATCATATAGTCCAGTGTCCACTATATGTAGTAATTAATGACACTATTATAAATAGCTAGTTCGGTAACTAGCGCTGCAATAGCTGCGCTAATAGCGTTAGTGGCCCCTTTCGCAACGCTATCACCCAATAGCGACGACATCTTGGGGAATATGCACTTTTCACTCGCAAAAGAGGCCAATAGTGGCCACAACGTTGAATAACGGGCGATTGCAGGTATAACTTGTTTTTTGATTGTCATTTAAAAGCGTTTTTAGGTTTACTTTTTAAATTATCCACCCGCACCTGGAAGACCCAATATTTTAAGTCATTGTTGATCATTGTTTTTTTCTCCTAAGTCTCCCCTCGTGATCCAACTCTAAAAAAACCTACCCCCCCCAAATGGTCGCCACCTCCCACTGCATACTACCACCTCCAGCGACTTTTGACGTCTTCTTGCCGTCTCCCACAGCCTCCGGTACCTCCATTAGCACCTCCTCACTGTCACAACTCCTCTCGTTGTAAGCTGCTCCTACTGTAGTCCTCTCACCACTCAGCTCATCTTTTTTAAGACGACAACTCTTTGACCCATTCTCCAGTCGTCTTCGGTATTATATGATGATTACATGTCTATTTCATACTTGGGATCTCTGTAGATCATCAAGTATGCACTTTTAGATTTCCTAGATTTTTCTTTCTTTTTTTGAATATTTATATACATCTAAAGTAGACTACTATTTGACTTTGCACCGCAATGACGTCAAATAGCCTTAGTGGTGCCGCACCGCTATGAGACGCTATCCGTTATCGATAACCTTGGTTATTAACATATACTTCACCATTCGCAAAGCATAAACAACAGAACTGTATTCAGAGACGGATCTGCCCTCTAACGTGCAGTTGCACCCCTAAAAATTCTGTATTTACATTATAAAGCATTCTTCAATTTCAATCTGCACCCCCCACCCCAAAAAAAACCCCAAAATAAGGGGGAAAAACTTGTAAGATTTGCACCCCAACGGCCCAACACTTGCTTATATAACTAGTAATTAGCAGCCCATTTGCATTAAATAGCTTATTCCATTTGAGTTTAGCCCATAATTATATAATCAACAATTATATTTTAATTTTACGTAGATTGATACTATGGTCTGCCCCCTAAAAAAATTTCTAGATCCACCGCTGAACATATCATTTCCTACAACCAGCTTAAAAAGACAAATTTCATATCCTTATTAAACGTAAACCCATCCTCATATGATTTAGGCAAGGCATTTCAACCTAATATCCGAGCTTATAAGAGTACGTGAATGATTTCCACAAAATATAGTACAAGAAAAGAAAGATAGAAAGGCGGCAAGAAAATCATAGACAAATAGTTTATAGGCTCAAGGACTATCACAAACAATATAGTACATGAATGAGATACACAAAATACAGTATGAGAAAAGAAAGAAGGGCGCCAAGGTTATCATGAACAAATAACTAATATGGTTAAGGCTGCCACACATAAGTAATTATTTTCGGGTTAGGGATTCTAGAAGAAAAGTCTAATCATAGAGTACATATATTGGAACTTAACATAACTCCTAGATGACAATCATATAGTCACTTCAAGTTAATGTAATTATTGGTCGAAATGGACAAAGAGTAGTGCATAAGACCGAACAAAAGCATCTAGTATTCTTATGAGATCCTCATCCCTGCAGACCATGATATGGCCAATGATCGAACAAGCAAAAAAGAGTTGAGAACAAAGAGAAAGATTAAATTGTTGGCCTGTGATATTGATAGATGACAGATTTAAGACATGCCAAGATAACTATGTATTTCTCCTACCGTAAATGCTTTAATGATAAGGACGCAACCTTCTCGTTCCCTTCTTTTTAGTACATATTCATATTGCTAAGTGAGAAGTTTTTTATCGAGCCAGTACCTATTCTATCCCAAGTAAAAAAAGAAATCAGTCGGGTTCTTCCTCCCATCAAATCAAGTTACCCCATCCATCAGCACAATTCTAATGGTTAGTTCGAAACTGCCTATGAAATTTACCGCCTATTATCAAAACTTCATTGAGATTCTCCATACTTCCGAAACAAGTATAAATCTCGAGAAGTACTGAACCCCACACATTGCTTTAACTTCCAAAAAAACAAAAAACAAAAGACTTTGAATCGTAATTGTACAATTCCACCAAAAGACTCCATCTAATACTCAAATATAACAACCCAAGTCAAGATAATAGCACCAAATAAAAAGGTCAATACAACTTAGACTTCCATGAAGGATAATCTTTTAATAACTATCCTAGTTACGCATCAAGCTGAGTATGTTAGCTGTTGAACAAAATAACTGAGGGACTAATTTGATGTAATTACACGAGAGCGAATAGCAATATAGAGATTTGAGGGTCTATATCATAACAAAGATAATTTAAGAGACCAATATATTTAAAAAAACAAAATATATCAATAAGAAAATAAAAAATGATAACCCCCTAGTTATTTTTCTCTCCTTTATCGTTCTTCATTGGTAGTCATGTTTTGGTTTTGTTTTTAGGTTTCACTTATACATCCCTCAAATCTTTTACGTATTACAAATTACTTTCTAAATGTTCTTTTTGTTCTTACTACAGAAACAATATTGATGTTTGGTGTCATCATCATTACGAAAAGCCCAACAATGCCGCTTGTAAACAATATTGTCACAACCATTATCTCTCCCCTTTTTGTCGGTTGTCATCGTTGTCATTAATACATTATTGTGGTCATCGACATAACTCCCATTAATGTGACAAATTGTGGTGTCTATTGTCATCAAGAGCTGCAAATTAGTGTCATCAATCAATCCGCACCACATCAAGTGAACACAAAAAGAAATGAAAGCTTGATTTCTCGAACATTGAACTTTTAATTATGATACAATTTATTCATAATAAAAACATTTTAAAGATAAATATAAAATGATTAATACAATTCTACAAAAATAGTCATAATTTGTAACAGTTACTTTTAATTTTTAAATTAGTCATGAAACGTACACTAATTAGATATTTAATGCTTGAGATTTTATCATAGACCAAGAACTGAAGCACTCAAAATACCCTCAATAAATTTTTAACATCATCAAATACAAGATGAAAACTCTAATAAAAAATTTCAATCATTTCAACCACAGACTAACTGATAACTTGTAGAACATGTAACAAATATTAGACTAAATTGTTTGGCGATGAATATTAGGGCCAAACCAAATGCGCAGGGCCAAAATAACTAGGAAGTCATCAGGGCAATTAGGAAGTGGTTCTATACTATTGCCCTTTAGGTTAAATATTCTAAAATCATCTACTATATGCTCAAACTCAGTAGCGCCATCACTTCTATAGATGCCTCTGTAATTAAAGTAACTTAGAGTGAAATATATGCAATCTTTTTTCCATCCTTGATAGTCCTTGACATTGAATGATAGTGCTCCCTTGGTGCCCAAGAACAACACCCAATTGCCCAAGCTTTCCACGCTCGCCAAGTTCATATCACCATCGAGGTTATCAACTTTAAATACTTCAAACCTTTTAGGTATCTTATGAGTATAAGTATAGCCACAGAGCATACCATCATAGCATCTACCAACTAGTAGTAAACCTTCGTCCATCGAGGTTAGATACCATAAGAAATAATCATGTTCATCTCTTACAATAGTAAGATTTGTAGCCGTGATGGAAATACCAATATCGACAACTACTAGCATACAAAACTTATCTACAGCATAGAGCTTGCCTCGATAGGACAATAAGTCTTTGTAATTAAGAGAGGGATCCCCAACAGTCCACTTATCATCTACTACTCGAGAAAACATCAATTTACCATAAAAGATCATTGCCACTAGCATGACATCAGTATAGTTCTCCTCAATGTATTAAATAGCGAAAATATCGATAATATCGGATGGCCAAAATCCATATCGGATTGCCAAAATCCATATCGAATTGCGAAAACAGGGATACATAGGGGATATGTAAAAAATAACGGAGTGTCATGTCGAATGATGTTCATATATAACATAACATCTATGAAGCACGGACACGCATAACATGAAGCTGTGTCGTGTCGTGTCCGTGTCGGACACACGTGTCGAACACACGTATCCTATGTATTTTTTAGGATTTGCCTCGTGTCGGCGTGTCGGATGGCCGTGTCGGATCCGTGTCCGTGCTACATAGCATAACATTGTAATATGTAATCAAAACATATTTAATGCATTTTAATCATAAAAAATTGCATCATGTATAATGCTATATGATGTCTAGAGACATTAGGTACATATAGAGGTCAAAGAGAGAAAGAAGACATGAACGAAGGACAGAGAAGAAGAACAAGGAAGACAGAGAGAGAAGTTGAGAGAGAGGAGAGTGTAAGAGAGACAGAGGTGTCTAAGGAGGAGCTATGAGAGAGAGCTGAGAGTCTGAGACAGAGGAGAACTGGAGAGAGAGAGTGGAGAGAGTGTACCTGAAATCGCCTAGCGTTTTTGAGATGGAGTGTCGAACGACGAGGAAGGACAAATATGAGATTGACTAGGGATTTAGGGTATTTGGATGTGGAAATTTATTAAGTTTTTGAGTCTAGTGGGAACCAAAACCAAATCCAAACTCAATAACCATTTTCATTTGGATATTAGCTAATATCGAGCGATATTTTCTCAATGAAATGTCGGCCGATATTTCCAATATATAGTAAAAAGTGGTAAAAATTGGAAAACAATAGTATTTGGTAGAAGGGCATCAAAACCGATATATCAGGCGATATAGCGATATATCGACCAATATTTAATACTTCTCCTCTACAGAGATGGTTATAACCTTCTCTACATAACAGTCACACACATATTTCACATGTTCGTCACATTTAGATTCAAATTCAACAATGTATTCCCTACCAATGTCATCCTCTCAATATTCTAACATCCACGGCAACATAGTGAGTGCAGGGAGATTGACTTGAGCCTTAGTTAATCTATAATACATATAAAAGAGGATTACCTTGTCAAAACTTTTGGTTTCCAGTTTTGCCCTTTTAAATTTGATAATTCTCAAATATATCATTAGTTGTAATTAATCATTCACTAATTATATATAACCTCTTATTAATTATGCATTTCCTCGCTTTTCAAAACCTTTGGCCACACTATTATTTTATTATTGAATTATGTTATTTAATAGAATATTTAAAATTTATCCCTAATTTATCTTCACATAATATTTAAAATTTTAGAAAAAATAAAAATTAATAATAATTCATTAGGCTTATGCCTTATGCCTTTGGGTTTCACATCTTATGAAGGACTACATATTACCTTTCATCTTATTAGCCTTTTAAAAGTATGATAATAGTATCAAAAACAATTTGTATTTGTTGTAATTATAATAGTATTAATAGTATAATAATTTTAGTAGTGTTTTTCAAATTAATGAAGTACATTGTAATTTAATAATTATACAATTTAGTAAATTATTTACTAATAGTGTAATAAATTAATTATGAAATTTAAATATAGTTACTAATAGTATTATAATTATGATATGTATAATATTGTTAGATTTAAAAGAGATTACATTATTTAATATATTATAATTAAATTATGAATAAATTATAATAATTATCCAAACTATAATAATTAATCATACAATTCTTTACACACAATTTTATCGTACAATTTATTCATTTAAAAATATAGTGATTGTTCAGAATTTATATTGCTATACAAGCCATTTCAGCATTTTGCAGCCAACAAAAAAAATGTAAAGAATATTAAACAAAATAGGTATGCTCTCGTGCAAAGCACATGCGCTATACTAGTGGGTTAAAAAGACGCGTTGCTCCTGATTCATGAACTAAGACCAACAACCCACCAGGAGATCCAACAATACTATGGTTCAAGACCTCCGGGAGATGGAGGGTGATGATTTTGTCATCGGAGTGCCGACAAAAGGAGCGAGCTTTATCCAAGGCTTCATTGAAGGGAAGCATCAACCAATGAAGTTGAGGAGGTATGAAGAGATAGGTTTATGTCATGTATATAATTTGTGGAGACAAAAACCCAGTAGGGATTCTACTGCTTCCTGAACAAACTTAGAGTTTGTGTTTAATTTTAGTACGAAATTGGAAGAAAGGCAAAGAAAACCGTAGAGCTCAGATCTCGACAACCCAGTGGGATTCTAACTTCCCAAAGAAACCCAAATCCCACTACATATAAAATTCCTAAAAAATAAAGAAAATAGAAATAGCGAAAGTTGTTCCTTCCAGGGTTAACCCTAATTTGATCCGATTTGAAGAAAGAGGTTAACTTACAAGAACTCGATCTCGATCAGCGTGGCTGGAGACGTGAACGGGGGCGCGGTCTTCGACGGGCTGATGGAGGAGGATACGGAGGCGCCGATGGAGCTTTCGGCGCATTAGAGAATGAGAGAAGAGCTCTTCTCTCGATCCACGATCGTCAGTGATGACGAGGAATTCGATCGATCTAGGGTTCTGAGGAGGCTCAGTGTTAGCGCGAACAAGGAAATTTAGCAAAAAGATGCGCGGGTTAATTTCATAAAACACCCGTGAGGATTCTGGGGGTTTTGCGCTAAACTACCACATATTACACCCATAAAATCATAGGTACTTGCAAAACAGCCCCCCCAAATAATTAACTTGGTGAAATGAACCCCTAAAATCAACAAATCATCAACTTGATGCTATAAATTTGATTATTTTGTTATAAATTAGCTTATCAAAGTTGATAATTAATTTGCTTTCGAAATATATTTTTTAAAATTGATGATTTAAGGGGTTATAATGCAAATATTCGTGATGTAAGGGTTATATATGCAACTAATGCTAATTTTAAAACTTTAACTAGACATCCATAAATTTTTGTCTCGAAAAACGCAATTTAACATGTCCTTTCTAACATTAGGGGCTGTTTGGTTGGCATTTTTTACCCTTGTTTCCCTGTCAAAACTGACAAAAGATGTCAGCTTTGGCAGCTTTACTTGCAAAAACGCCCCAAAATAGGCGTTTTTACAAATAAAGCTGCTAAAATTGACAACTTTTGTCAGTTTTAGAAGGGAAACCCAAACAAAAAAAGCCAACCAAACAGCTCCTTATTATTTTCCGCTGAAATTTAGCTCAGATAGAGGTAACTATCCCTTACACTAATCCTACATAAATTAAACTCTCGTTGTTATTCTTTTAAAATCTATTGATTAGTATGTGTAGTTTTGATATTTTGGTTAAATTTGACAACCTTTTGGGAGCTTTCGCACAAAATCCTACTGAATTTTGTAAACTCCGCATAAATCTTTTGAATTTTGTGAAACTTCCCAAAATTCAGGGCTTCTGTGTGAAAATTTACAAAGTTCAGAAGAGTATTTGTGCAAAATCCCAAAATCTACAAATTTTCTAAGGGGTTGTTTGTTTCAAATCCTATAATTTTAGGATATGGATTTCACCATGAGATTTAAAATCCATAGGTGTTTTGTTATGAGTTGGGATTTCTAAAATGTTGTTTGTGTTGTAAATATAAATACAATGAATATGGACATTACTAGAAGAAGTCTCTTCACCTACTTGTGACTTTTAGTATTCTCTTCCACATCTATATAATGTAATCCATGGAAGACAAAATGTATTGAGGAGAAATGAAGATAAATAAAATGAGATGATCACTTTCTCCCTATCTCTTTTCTTGTTTATTTACTTTTACATTTCATGTTTGATTCTTACTTTTGATATGTGATGTATGTAGATACAACAACGAGATTACAACACGTTATCAGCACGAGTGGCTCTAGCCGGTTCGTGATCATCGGTTCATAGCAATAGATTTTTAGGTGTACATCTTCTACAAGTATGATATGCAATTCTTTGGTGGTCCCAAACCGGAGCTCTATTCGTAGTCATTCCAAGGTGATACGTGACAAGGTCAGCTATATGACTTCTTCTTAGTTAGTGTATTTTAAATATATGAAGGTTGATTTTTGCCATACAAAATATGAAATTGGACTTTTAAATTATTGATTCGGACGCATGCTAGCTCTTTGTGAACATTTAACTGTGTTTATAGTTCTCTGGAAGAAACTTTACTGTAAGGGCCTGTTCGTTTGTTTTCTAAAAAACAAGAAATGGAAATGGAAAAGGTGGAAATCTTAGTGTATTTTAAAATATGAAGGTTGATTTTTGCCATACAAAATATGAAATTGGACTTTTAAATTATTGATTCGGACGCATGCTAGCTCTTTGTGAACATTTAACTGTGTTTATAGTTCTTTGGAAGAAACTTTACTGTAAGGGCCTGTTCGTTTGTTTTCTAAAAAACAAGAAATGGAAATGGAAAAGGTGGAAATCTCAAAATAACTCATTTCTTCCATTTCCATCCCTAAAACTCACCCACAACATCCAATAAAATATTATTTTCATCCAACAACTCATCCACATCATCTAATAAAATATTATTTTTATCTAACCACTCATCCACCACATCTAATAAAATATTATTTTCATCCAAAAACTCATCCATCACATCTAATAAAATATTATTTTCATCCAAACATCACTCAACTCATATCTTCTCATCATTTCAAATCACTCATATCATCCAATAAAATATTATAACAATTCACCTCATCTCATTAACATTTCATTTCTTCATTTTCATCCCAAAAAGTTATGAAAACACTTTTCTTAATCTTTCTTCACATCACCCAATAATACAATGACAACTCATCTCATCTCATTTCATTTCTTATTTTTAAGAATGAACCGAACAAAAGAAAACAAGAAACTACAGGAAATAGGTTTCTTATAATTCATTTCCTTATTTTTTTCGCCAACCAAACAACATCAAAACTAGTTTTCTTAAAAAACCTCATCTCATCTCATCTCCATTTCTTTGATTTCCTTTTTTTTTAGCCAACCAAACAAGTCAAAAACCTATTTTTCTTAGAAATAGTTTTCTATTTCTTTGATTTCCCAGTTTTTTTATGGCAAACGAACATGCCCTAAAATTAAACATTGAAAGTCTAAGGTTCGAGTTCAAAGCTTTGTTATCTTAAAATGCATTTGTATTAGGAGTTAAAATTTTATTTGTACATGTGTATAAGATTCAAACCTTAATTTGAATTGTGGCTACACCCTTATTATTTTGTTTACTTGGATAGCTGGGTGATGGACTGTAGGCTTAGGTTATGCATGGGATTTATTCGATAGCCATGATTGGAGCTTTGAATAAATTCTTACATTGGAATGTTAAAGTTCGGTTTTCGTTGAAACCTTAAATTGCAGACTTTGTTTTGTATATTTGATGATATTATGCCTTCACTGATTTATTCTCCCAATGATAGTTCTATTCTTGCGTATAATTCATTTATCACATATTTAGTTGTGTTTTATTAACTATGAATCCTTTTTGAATTGTTGCTTTCTTAAATTGTTTTTTAAATTACTAGTATGGAGGACAAGTGCGTTGCACGTGCCTGCTCTATTCAGTTGTTGTACACTAAAATTTCTATTAGTCTAATTGCTAAATCTACTCTTAGTTTGAAGGTTTAATTTCAAAATAACTTAAAAATTGGAGATCCTAATAGCACTTTCAATAATTTAGGGGATTAATTTAAAAATAACATAAGATGTAAGGGACCAAATAGCAATTTAATTGATTTAATGGGTCTAGTGTCAAAAAAAGAATATTTCTAATTTCTCATGCACTAATCTTTCGTCCCCATGAGTAGTGCACTGTGATATATAATAGTAACTATTACTTGTCTTTGGCCTTGAACGTTAATTTTTACTGACACCCTTGTGTTTTTTGCACGATTATATCTCTTGATTCTTTAAGGGGGTGTTAGTCAATTGAGACATTTTCATGTAAAATGGGATAATTGTTAAAGTGGAATAATATTTCACTAGTGGGATATTTTAGTGGGATAACTAGGAACAATTTTGTGAAGCAGGATATTTTGATAAAATAACGTGGGATAAATTTTTATAATCATGAAGTATATATTTATGCATTTTGAAGATATAAATACTATTTATGTATTTTAAATGTGGCTAACCCTTGATAATTGCTTACAAGAATGTTCGTTACTATTAAATAACTTTTGGTTAGACTATAAGATATTGACAATTATTATTATGATGATGGTCTAATGATGGTGATAACCATAATAGGAAATAAGTAAAGAAAAAAATAAAAAATAACAAAATAAATACGAGTTCTAGTTTTTTACCACATAGTTCCAAGCTAAAACTTGGAATAATTTGAGAGACTAGAACTCTCATTTTTGTATAGAAAAATAAAAAAAGTGGGATAATTTTGTACAATTATCCCAATTCTAGTTTTGTTAAAGTTCTGCTTGACTAACACTGTAAAATTTTATTCTAGATTTAGTTCTATGTGACTAACACCTTAAAATTTTGTTCTAGGTTTAGTTCTATGTGACTAACACCTTAAAATTTTATCCCACAGATTATCCCAGTTCTAATTTTAAGTTCTAGGTGACTAACCCCCCCTAAGTATATTTGCTCAGAAGGCAAACACTTTAAATTTTCTAAGACATGAAAAATTAAATGCCTCAGTAAAAAAGTATTCAATTTTCTGGGCAATCCCTGAAGGATCGCTTTGATCTATGGAAACCAATAATCTTCCCTCAAACGCAACTGGCAGACTGAATCAGAACTTTTTGAATTTCAAATACATGACTAAATATGATTCAGTTCTGTACCAAATTATCTAGCAGCTGAAACTCTGTAAGCAGAACATTACAGACAGTGATAAAATTGATCGAAAAATTCTTTTCCCTATTCCACGCAAATAATATTGTACTCCAGCAGCAGTACATGACCAAGAATTGCACTTAGCATTCTGAATTGATTAGTAGTCGCAGAGAAGCACAATCAATTGATGATTAGAAATCACAATGTCAGACTAGTTGGCTTACGAGTTGTGTTTGTAGCACATGCTACAATTCAGAAAATTCCTTATACGCGTGGACAAGAGGAGGGCTAGGAGGCTATGAACATAGTAGGAGATCTTATCCTGTAGCCATTTTTGGATTTTAAACCCTCGACTGAATACAATTCAACAAGTAACCTTGTACTCTTACAATAGTACAACTAAAAGCATTATGAACTAATCCTTGTATTAGTAGTTGTTAAAAACACAACCAGCTGTTGTGAGAAACCATAATGCAAGTTTAATTGGTTCAGTCGTAGTGCCTGAAGCACATGTCATAATTCAAATTAATATTCATAAGCTCGGACGAGGGGGAGGTAGTAGATCTTATTGAGGTGGTCAAGGTAAACTATTTGGTTTTTCTATATTTGGATTATATGCATTTGTCAGACAATTTTAATTTATCTTGATTTTGCTTTAAACTCTTGTGAACCTATGTGTTTTTTATTCATATGTGTATATTTTAGAATTTGTCTGACCTAAAATACACCATGTTGCGATAAGTTTGAGATTTAGGGACCCAAATTCTTTTAAATTCTGGCATGAGCGATTGGGTAATCTTTGGCAAAATATGATTTGT